TGATATTGTTGGTTGTGTTTACGTAACACTGTCGTCATCATCCCCCCCCCCACCCCCCCACCCCCCCGCCCGCAGCAAGTCCAAAATCAAGAGGCCGAGTTAGCAAACTCGGCAAGTGGATTTCGAGGCCTCTTATGATGATCATACATGCCGAAAGTGCCGTAAATACCGAGTAAAACGGATGTGCTCTTAACATGGTTTTAAGCAAGTGTAGTTGGTAGGGGGGGGGGCCTAGCACTAGCACTAGCACTAGCACTCGTCAGTAGTACTACTGCTACTACTACTGCCAAAAGCACTACCATTACCACCGCCACAACCACCACCACCACCACCACCACCATTACCACTGCTACTGCTGATACTACTGCTACTGCTGATACGACGACGACGACGACGACTACTACTACTACTACTACTACTACTGCTACTACTACTACTGCTACTGCTACTGCTACGCTACTGCTACTGCGACTGCTACTGCGACAACTACTGCTACTACTACTGCTACTGCTGCTACTGATACTACCATTACAACTACTACCATTACTACTACGACTACTACCGCTACTACCACTACCACTGTCAGCGCTACCATGACCAACACCACCACCCCACCACCACCACCACCACCACCACCACCACCACAAACACCACCACCAGCACCAACATCACGACCACGACCACGACGACTACGACCACTGCTACTACCTACTACTACGACGAGGACGACGATACTTCTACTGATCAGGACACATACCAGCGCTAGTAGCATGAATGTTGTCACTGGAATTGCCCTGAGCTTTGACAAGTGTGGTGGATGAATACTGTTCTTCCATTCTTGTTGTTGACCGACATCTAGACACTCCGACCACAGTCTTGGAGTGCAGCGTGACACGTGAGTTGCTGTGAAAGGGTCGAGGAATACCATCTACGGGCAGACTAACCCACTTCTAAAGGCCTCTAGTTCCGCGGGAATACTTGGACTGCATGCCGATTCCGACGAGAGCACTGGAAAGCTGAGGCACTCACCTTTTGCAGCAGTTGGTCGTATCATTTGTCAACCTGCTGCGTCGCTCTTGGGTTAGGGCTCAGGCCCAAGGATGTGTAGTGTAGTACAAAACAATATGGCACAGGATAACATAACACACAAATATTTTATGGTATATTATGATACAGTGTACGATCGTATGCGATATTATACTTAAAGGATCATGGGACTTAGTAAGTAGGGTTATAATTTGGGGCAACTAAACTTATAACCCCAATTAAGGGACTTATAACCTTACTTACTAAGTCCCATGATCCTCCAAGTACTAGGAAACTTGCGACCTCTTTGTCTAAGCCCACTCGATCGGAGGATGTCGGGGCCTTCTGGGCTTGCTGTGGATTATACTATGTTGAAGTATGCTACACTAGATTATGTTATAGTATATCATACAGTATTTTGTATGATACTATAATATATTATGTTATAGTGTATCATACAGTATTTTTGGGTATGATACTATAACAACTTGACTGAAGACATCCCTACGGGCAGCTGCCCCATCACATCTAGTGGTCTGCTCTGCCCATTGACCCGGGCCACGCCTGAAGAATGAAAGTCTGTCGCAAAATATTTAGAATAGTGTGTTACAATATAGTACATTGTACTATAGTGTATAGTATAGACTACAGCATATTAGAGTATAGTATTGCATAATCTTCGAGAGTGTAATGTACGATAATACACTGCAGAATATAACATGCCATAAATCACTGAACCTCAACATAACATTCTGTGTTATCAGGAACTGTAAAAGCACATCATATCAAGCCGTGTTATGTTCTTCAGGATAGTATAGTAAAGTACAGCATGGCATAGAATGGCATAGTATAGTCTGTACAGTATAGTAGAATATGTCATAATATAACAGCAAAGCACAGAATAGGATAGAATGAAAGAGGATGTAACACAATGTAGTATAACAGAATATAGCATAGCATGGCATCAGTCGCGCAGTATAGTGCAACATAATACAGTAAAATGAAATGGAGCATAATCTAATGTAATGTCATATACTGTACTAATATAATATCATGGTATACAGTATAAGCATACGTGACATAAGAAAGAAATGTACAGAAGTACAATATAATGTTATACCGTAGTGCATACTCGTATATTAAAACCTTTGACAATATAGTATAATACTATGAATAATACTATAAAAATAACATGTGAGATTATACACTATGTCACATGAAACAACATAATCTAATATGCCATGAAGGTAATATACTATAAGGTAAGATACTAAAGCAAAATCTTATATAATGTAATACGGTAGTATATGATGTAGAATCTTATAATATACTCTAATATATTGTCAATATGATACAACAGAAACAGATAGAACAGAATACAATAGAATAGAACACGGTACTATATAACCTAACAGTACAGAACATAATATAGTAATATCATACCGTACAATATACAGTAAAAGTGATATGAAAGAATAGCACATAATAAAATATAACATGTTATGTTATCAAAACATTACAACATATAAAGCTATAATACCACATAATATAACATGACCTAATACAATGCTGCAGAATGTACTGTAGTTTAAAGCAAGATAATGTAGTATCATGCAGTACTGTGTGATATAATCTCCAATGTGATTCAGTACAGTCTGGCACAACATCATAGAATAGAACAGAACAGAAGCGAATTGAATAGATGATATAATATGGCCTCCAGATTGAGCCGACTGCGCCAAACCCCTGACCCTGAACCCCACCGCCCCCCTGCCCCTCGCCCACCTAGATGGGAACCACTCAACGCGGACTGTGTGCGGCTCGTGCGCTCAGCTGTAGCAAGAGTCCATGGCAGCATCAGTGGCAGTTCGCATGGCCAGGGTGACAAGGTTGGGTTAGGGGGTTCCATCTCAAATAGCTAAGAGCTTAGGGTGTTTGCATTTCTGGCCTGGAGATGGCTGGAGCATTAGGGCCGAATTGCACCTAAATCTGGACCGGGCAGAAACTGAAATCGTGCGGCACTGCTGACGAGGGAATTTAGGAACACAGATTTGCCCTTGTGATGGACTCTGCGTTTATACTGCCTTCGAAGTTCATGCTGGTACGGGGAACTGGTTCTTCGATCTGCAGCACGCGGCTTTGCGCTGAAGGTACCGGCGGTGCGGCGGGAACATTTCGCTGTGGCTGGTTAGAGCTGGCGAAAAAAATAACAGCCTTCGAGGTCCCAAGCTTTCGGTAGTAGGGTTTTGGGCCGAGCATGTCAGCTTCTGACAGGCAAAGCCTGTCAAGGTCTTGGGGTTTATGGGTAGTTGTCAAAATTATGGTTTGTTTTGGGGTCCCCTGAATAATTGGTGCCGTACTATAATAAGGACCCAACAAGGGACCATAATTTTGACAACCACCCTTATCCTGTTCTCGGGAGTGTGGTGCATGAACCCGACAAGGCGGAAAAGTTGATGTGTGTCATCATCAAAGTTTCCACGACGAAGACTACCACCACCACCATCACCACCACCACGATCTGCACCACCAGCACCACGAATGCCAGGATGACATCCTTGTGGAGTTTTGCTAGTACGATCGCCAATGCTTCTATGATGGAGAGTGCGTTGGCATTGCAGGTGCAAGCTTCGTTTCGTGTGAGCGAGTGGTTCAGTGCGCAAGGCCTACCGGCGTCGGCTAGGCGCCGAGCTTAGGCTCCTTTAGGGTTTAGGGTTTAGGGTTTAGGGCTCCCCAACCTCTGCCAACGGACCACCAAACTCCGGAACTCTCCCTGCCCCCCTCCCCCTGGCAGGGCACCCCTGGCACCGTCTGCTGTACCTTGATGGCAGCAGCAATGTCGGGCACCTTCGTCTGAGGATGGGACCCACAAAGGTGTTGAGTGTCTTCCTTGCCCGAATCCTGAAGCGCACCCAACCCTGCAGGCGCTAGACTTGTGCGCCCAAACCCGAGGCGAGAAGCCAGACTTCAGATCCGGTGGCGACGGTTCGGGACCCTAGTGAATGCAGGCACAAGGAGTCAGATGAGGCTCTACTGACTCCCCCAGAAACCCTTCGTGACAAACACTGCGCGCGCGACACATGTGTAGGAAATCCTATCGGATCTGAGGGCTTCGGGGTTCAGGATTTGTGAACCCTAAACCCTAAACCCTAAACCCTAAACCCTAAACCCTAAAAGGATTTGTGGTCCAGGAGTCCAGGAGCCCGGAGTAAAGGACGCAGCACACGGTAGAGTAGCGAGCAAAGAGTACCCAAACCCTAAACCCGAAGCCCTAAACGCTAAAACCCAACCTCCAGCCTGAGCAAAAAATTCTAGAAGAGACTGAAAAGTGTCAAAACCACGGAGTTGATCTTCCTGCTCGTAGACTTCACCTTCCTCCAGGCTGTACCGTCGTAATACCCATGCAAAAACCGGGCATTTTGGGTTTGGGGTTCCGGGTGTAGTAAGTTTTCGACAGAAACATTCGGTTGATCCCTTGGCCCACCGCCAGATTCCTCACTTCAACTGCCCAACAGAACCAGCCGAGATCTTAAGGATTCGAAACACCCCCGATACTCTCTGAACCCTAAACCCTAAACCCTAAACCCTCAACCACATCCCTGGCGCCTTGACCTCCGGATCCACCTGTGGGGGAACGTCAGCTGTTTGGGATCCTGGGGGTCGGTGTCGTTGGGTGCATGGCGTCACAATGTGAGTCAGTGCACTATATATATATATATATAAAAATACATATATATATATATATACATACATATATATATATATATATAAACACTCATATTGATATTCATATTATTCCATATACTAAATTTGATAATTACAATGTGTATGTATGTCTACATATTTATATGAAATAATGTGTATATATATATGTACAAATATTTATACATATATATATATATATAAGTTCAAGCCACGCAGAGGCTGAGGGCAAATCATGTGAAACAGTTGTGGGAAGATATCTGGGACTCATGGCTCGTGCGCTTCTCTCCCATGCTTTTGCCTGAATTGCGCTCGGGAAGCAAGAGGATTTGGGTCAAGAGGAGTGGGGGGCTAGCAAACCCTGAACCCTACTTCCTGCGAAACCCCAAACCCCGCAAAGCCCAAAACCCTAAACCCTAAACCCTGAACATTCCCATGGAACTGTTAGCACATGACATGCCTCGCATCGAGCATGCCTCAGCAGCATGTCTCCGTACGCCTCCAAAGAAAAGTTCAATATCTGCGCAACAGCGGGCTATAAGATACCAGAACTGTAGATCATAGGGACTATAAGAAGATAATATTGCTATGTATCCCGTCTTCTACTTTAATGCGCCAAGCTCGGTTGGGGCTTAGCGTAACATCACCATGGTTCATCATCAACAGCAGCAAAAGCACCATCATCATCATTATCATCTCCAGAAACGAACACATGATCAGGAAAGGCACGATCGTATCCAGATGCTCGAATGGCAGGCTCGACAGGCTCAGGCCGTGTTTAATTCATCTTTCCTTAGCACACACTCACTCTCTCCCTCTACATATACATATATACACACACATACATATATACATGCATACCTGTATGCATATGTCAATGTAGATGTGTATAAATAAATATATATGTATATGAGATATACACATATGTTACTGCTCTAATCGTCACTGCTCTAATCATCACAGCAATGCGACCATGGTTAGCACGATGACGGCTACAAGTTCGATAACACGGTTGACAACGACTGACCATGATTTGTGGCTAGGACTATGAACACGGTTCCACTACTTTATTGGCTCTATCTTGATGTAACCAGCATACTTCTGCATACATTTCATGTCACTGCTATTACGACCCAACTGCCTCCAAAAACCCGCACACCCTGCACCCTGGACCCTGAAAAACCCGAACCCAACTCAGAAACTCTGCAGCTCCCCACCCCTGACCCGCTGAGATAGAAGCCGTATGAAGTCGTATGATTAGTTGCTAAAAGTCCCTATAGAACCATTTTACAACATACCCCAAAACCCTCTTCTAGTTGTTAAGAACCCCCCGCCTTTGACGACGTCCCAAATCCTAAAGTATTGAGGTCTGGGTGAGCAGTAGTACTGTCCCGCTGTAGTCCGCGATATAATGGATTATAGTGTATCGTATACCCCTACAGCCCATTCTAAATGCATGCTATGTGCTGCACGGGACTCGAAGGCCAGTAAAACTCCTGCTTTGTAGGGCCACAATCCTTGCAAGACCCTCAGCACCAAGCCGGAGTTGGCTCGCAAAGGCCCAGAGAAAACCCTAAACCTTAAACCCAACTCCCTGAACGCTGAACTCGAAGCTGAACGGTCTTAAATTAAACGCTGAACCCAAAACTCATTCAAGCCAGCTTGGGCCACCTCCCAAGTCCATGCCGCGCTGCCACTGAGCCCAGCATAGCTCTGCGCCTCCGGCTCTAGCGAAGAGCTTGGGGGTGTAGAGCTTTGGTGCTTTAGAGTCTCGGCATATGCGTCTTCTGGGTTTCGGGTTCAAGGTCCACGGCGAAAGTTGAAAAAAGGATTGATCGACAGGTGCCCAAACGGATCCGAGTCCTTCGTCGCGAATTGAGACCAGCAGCCCTGACGAAAAGGGAACCAAACAAGCCGCCAAACCCTGCGAAACCCGAACTTCCACAGCCCCAAATCTCTGAATGCACTCCCTTGCCACCCAACCGCCCCCCCCCTCTGGCTTGGTACTCCATGCGCTTCCGCATCATCCGCTCGGCATCCTCCAGCAGACATGGAACCGAAAAAATCTAGCGCTGTGTGGTTTTTGACTTTGGGTTTAGGGCCCTAGGCCCTAAACCCTAGGCCCTTTTGGGGCGTGTCCTTTTTAGGTCTCAGGGTCTGAGA